AAAAAGAGTAGAAGATAAGTGTTTCTAGGTGGGTTCATCAATATTAATATAAATTTGCTTGGCGCAGTTAAAGGAAGTTTAAAATCGCGTTCTCGATTTGAATGGAAATATATGTATCCTGGAATTAACATCTAATATAAATAATTCAATAGAAGTTGAAAATTGTTAAAAAACCATGTTTTTTCTAGACCGCTTTGCACCTGAATACTATCGGATGAAGCTGAACGTTTATTTCGTGGGACCATCCGTGTCAGAGTGCAAATGCCTCGAGAACGTTGGGCCCGCTACTGAGGATTCTTGTGGTAATTCACGACGTGCAAGCTGACACGACGAACAAACATTGTACTCGCCAAGTTATATGGAAAATAAGAGCGGAAGTACAAAAAAAAATAAAAACAAACGAATGTATAATTACAAAATGTTAAAACTGCCTTGAATTAGTGACATATTTAAACTGATTAGCAAGTTCTGTTGCAACAATAGTTGCTTATCTAAAAGAATGTTTGTATTATTGTAATAACTAAGATAAGAATAAGGTAATGTATTTTAAAAAGACTTTCACTTTATTTTTAGTTGCAGTGGGCCTCGAAGAGAAGGTGATTAAAACAACCGAGGTCCTGAATAATTAAAATTCAATTGAAATGTTTGATATGAAGCAAACTTATTACCAAAGAATACTTATATTTAAGTATTGCCCTTAACGAAGACGGTAGGCAATATCATTATGCTAAAAAGAGGCAAACGTGACGTTAGGGTCAAGACGGTTCAAAACACTGATGATAATTTTATATATAATTTACTGAATACATAATCCTAAAGTATAATAATATACTAATCGTGATCTCATGGTTATTATTAATGTTGTTGTTGTTGTTGTTGTTGTGTTGTTGTTGTTATTATTATTATTATCATCATTACAATGTGTTCTACAAGTAGCGGCGGCAGCTTCGTTTTCGTCTGGCACGGCAAAATATAGTTTGTATTTTTTTTTGTCTTTTATCTACTTTTTCGTCTCGATTTTCTGTGATTCACGCGAGCACATACACTGCGAGAAAAAAGTATTCGCACACCGTCTGGCCCTTCTTTATAATGAAGGATACGATTTTCAAATCACGAATTAAATTATACGTTATTCGTATCAGCAAATCAAACAGAAATTTCATTTGACTATATTTAGTTTCAGGGGGAGTTCAGTTCCTACGAGACGGCCTGGTACAAATGATTTTTAATTTACCGTTACACTTGGGGGAAGCAGTGGCGTTAACTTTATCAGAACTCTCTTGAACTGGAGTGCAATTGCAGCAATCCGGGGTGTCCGAATGCTTCTTTCTTCCTCTGTTATACAACACGTGTGATTTTAAATGCCATTCTGTTCAATGTGAACGTGACGAGTAGCTATGGTAATATTGTAAGTGTCACCGAGTAAAGTACAACATACAATAATCGATACGGTTCCGTTTCGTTGATCTTCGGAATCTTAACGGCTAACGTTGATCATGACGAAACACCGAAACGTATTT